AGGCTCACTGTGTCAACTGCGTATGCCCAGCACACGTCTGGAGTAAGTCACCGTAAGATTAGACCAGAACCATCATCCCCCACGCGCTGCAGAGTGTGACCGGGAAAGGTGTGGAGGGCGGCCTGCAGCCTGAGGCTTGGCTTGTACAAAAAGAATCTCAGCGTCTTGTGTATAGAATGACTTATTTCAAGTAGCTTTACGGATTAACTCGCTTTATGTTTAGAGTTTAGAAGGAAATGTGGCAGGTGCAGTAGAAAGTGAGCTGTCGACAAGATTGAAGTAAAAGTTATGTGCCTCAGGGCTGTGTCACCCGGCGAGCGCGGGAAGCATCGGGAGAGGGTGGGGCCGCCGGCAGAGCTGGCCTAGAGGGGGGTTCTCCTTCCGTGGCTCAGCTCCACGAGTGGCAGTGGCGAATGGGGATCTGGTGGAGGGAGGGTTGTGATTCAGTGTTGGGACAACTGCCTGCAGCCCTTTGTCAGAGAACTCTTAGTAAATTATAACTTTTTTAGCTGGGAATTTGGAATCAGGAATCTTTTTTTTCCCCTTTGTTACATGAACTTCAGTGTTTAAGAAAGATCTGTGGTCCAAATATTTTTATATTTCAGTGACCTGTGACTCCACCGCTGCTTGTCTGCCAGTGCCCACCCCGTTTGACAGCTCAGGAAGAGGAGGGTAGGGTCTGCCCAAGGCTGCTGCCACGCAGGTTGCCTGGCCACTTCTCTCGCCCGGGCGCCTCACTGCCTCAGCCTTGCCGTGTGTGCGCGTGCACACGTTTGCCGGTGCTTGCGTGCGTCCTTAGTTGAACTTGTGCTGTCTGTTGTCCTTGGCGGGGGTGGTTTCGCAGAGGAGAGATAGCTAAGATCTTTGTGTCAGAACCAGAAAGGAGCAGGAATTCCAGGATTGGGGAGGGGCTCACTTGCCAGGTTTTGGCTGAACCCACGTTACTGGGGAGGAAGGGCTTAGAGGGGACCTGAAGGGCTGCTTCCTCTCTCTCTGCGACAGCTCTGGCGGGAAGCTCTGAGAAGCGGGAAGCACAGCGGGTAGAGTGGGAGGCATGATGGGTTTGCACGGCGCCACGTCTTTGTGACCTGTGTCCTGGGTTTGTCTGTTTAATATTCAGATGGATTTTCAGGGACGTTAAAGGCTTACCGTAGCGTATGTTTTCGCACGTCCTAAGTTACGTCCTATCTTAGTTGAGGCTCTAGTCAGTCAGAAGTTGCGCTGGGTGTCTCTGTGACCTCACCTCTGTTGCTCTGCTTGGTTTTGTGGCCCTCAGCCATGAGGTCGTCTCTTCTTCCATCTGCCCTTTCCACGTGTGTGGGGGGCGTTGATGTGACCAGAGCGCTGCTACGGAGAGGGTCCTGCGGATGGGAGGGGGAGGGCTGGCCTCCCTGTGGCCTGTTGTCCCATTGTCCGTGCGTGTAGCTGCGGGACAGGGCTGCTTCGAGGGCAGGGCTGTGAAGGCCCGTCCGCGGGAGCGGTTGCAGCAGAGGGGCCAGGGTCCTTGACGTCTGTCGTCACGAAGGTGTGCCCAGATTGTTGTCGCATACAGCAGATCACTGGCTCCTATTTGTCTCTGACCCTGAGAATCTCAAAGATTTTGTTACAGGGACATAGTTGTTCCTGCGTTGTAAGAGGTGGTTCTGAAATTGTCTGCTGGCAGGCGGAGCAGCCCGCGGAGCGGGAAGTAGAAAGAAACCTGGAACTCGAGGAACGAGGCCAGGAGGCAGGAACTCGAGGGCGAGGCCAGGAGGCAGGAACTCCAGGGCGAGGCCAGGAGGCAGGAAGCGGCGGTCGGGCTGCTGGGTCACTCGGTCTGTGGCATCGGCTGGGGGGCTCTGAGGACCAGCGGCGTCCACGGGGAGAGTTGCTTCCTGTCGGCAGAGAAGCGGAGCTGCTGCGCCGTCTGGGATGCCAAACCTGCCTCACTGCCCCCGACTGGCGGTCAGTGCCCAGGACACCGCTGTCCTCTGCAGTGTGGTCTTCGAGCCCCCACGAGGGGTAAACATGGGAGGGCAGCAGGTCTTGCTGGAAGAAGTTGTGAGGTTGGAAGAGGAGGTCTCTAGCAGAGCTCTTTTTATCTAGAACTTTCTAGTTACCTTAGGGGACTTGGGGAAAGGGATTAGGGGAACGATTTAAAAATGAGAAAATCCCACTCTGTTTTCCTTAATGGCATTTCCGCACACTTAGATGGACTCCCCTGGCAGGAGCCTTGGCCACTCCTCTGCCTCACACAGACGCAGGCACGGCTCTCATGCTCGGCAGCAAGCCATCTTGAGTTGCCTCGGGTGGTGGTGTAGGCGTGGGTGCCGATTCTGACCAGACCCTTGGGTGAGTCTCCCTCCCAGGAGATGCCTTCAGGGACCCCTGTGACGAGGCATGCACATCCTCTCCCAGGCCTTGCCGCGTGGTCCAGGCACTTTAAAACCCCTCCCTGAGATTCGGCCTTCGTATGGAGGCATGTTCTCAGTAAGGCAGCCCAGGTGAGTGGGCGCCCAAAGTGCAGGCTGCTCTGCTCCCATAGAGCAGAGCTCCCACGCTCGGGGTGCCTGCCCTTGGCTAAGGAGCTGGAGCAGCAGGGCCTCCATGCTGCCAGGCCTGCTCCGGGAGCCCAGGCTGTGTCCAGGAATCCGTGGGAGTGGGAGTGGGAGAGGGCGGGACCCTCTCGGATGCAGGGAAGGTGCGTGGACGGGGCCTGAGGATGGTTACCCTGTGGCCCGGGTGTGGGGGACGGGTTCCAGGGGGGTGCCAAGGCTCAGGGCTGGGCACGTCTCGTGCAATCAGGGAGCCGAGATCAGTTTGCCGGAGTAACCTCATGCCCTGGGCACCCTGGCTTGCCGTTAGGAACATCTTGCTGCCTTTTAAAGCTGTTTGTGCTCTGCCGTGCTGTCAGTATCCGCCCTAAGCCTTGCTGCCGGCGGGAAGAACAGGGCTTCATCCCTGACTCTGGCTCCCTTTAAATGCTTCACCTCTTGAAGGTAAAGGCAGAGGGAGGGCTGTGATTGGCTCAGTCTGTAACTTGAGCTCAGATCCTTCACATGATGCTTTGTGTTTTGAGAGTAAGGCCTGGATTGTGTTCATTACTGATTTCTCTCCGTCTTGACTCTGTCCTTGTGTTGGTGACCTTAGCTTTCCTTCTGGAAGGAATGGTCCAGTGCTGTGTAACTCTTGATTGCGCTCAGCCTGTGCCAAGCGAGAGGTGGTTGGCATTTTGGTATCTCCCTGTGCTGTGAACACAGTCTGATTTGTCCCCGTTTGTCTCTGCAGAGCAACAGCTACCCATCGATGAGCGACCCATACCTGTCCAGCTACTACCCACCGTCCATCGGATTTCCTTACTCCCTCAACGAGGCCCCCTGGTCCACCGCAGGGGACCCTCCGATTCCATACCTCACTACCTACGGACAGCTCAGTAATGGAGACCATCATTTTATGCACGATGCTGTTTTTGGGCAGCCCGGGGGTCTAGGGAACAACATCTATCAGCATAGGTTTAATTTTTTCCCTGAAAATCCTGCATTCTCAGCATGGGGCACAAGTGGGTCTCAGGGGCAGCAGACGCAGAGCTCCGCGTACGGGAGCAGCTACACCTACCCACCAAGCTCCCTGGGTGGCACAGTGGTCGATGGGCAGACAGGCTTTCACAGCGACACCCTCAGCAAGGCCCCCGGGATGAACAGTCTGGAGCAAGGCATGGTCGGCCTGAAGATTGGGGAGGTCAGCACCTCTGCAGTCAAGACCGTGGGCTCTGTCGTCAGCAGCGTGGCACTGACTGGTGTTCTTTCAGGCAGTGGTGGGACAAATGTGAGCATGCCGGTTTCCAAGCCGACCTCATGGGCTGCCATCGCCAGCAAGCCTGCAAAACCACAGCCCAAAATGAAAGCCAAGAGTGGGCCTGTGATGGGGAGTGCGCTGCCCCCTCCACCTATAAAGCATAACATGGACATTGGCACCTGGGATAACAAGGGGCCCGTGCCCAAGGCCCCGGCCCCCCAGCAGGCACCGTCCCCACAGTCTGTCCCACAGCCCCAGCAGGTGGCTCAGCCGCTCCCAGCTCAGCCTCCCCCTTTGGCCCAGCCACAGTATCAGAGCCCTCAGCAGCCCCCACAAACCCGCTGGGTTGCCCCTCGCAACAGAAACGCAGCATTTGGGCAGAATGCAGGGGCCACCAGTGATAGTAACTCTCCCGGAAATGCCCAGCCTAACTCTGCCCCCAGTGTAGACTCCCACCCTGTCCTTGAAAAACTGAAAGCTGCCCACAGCTATAATCCTAAAGAGTTTGATTGGAATCTGAAAAGTGGGCGTGTGTTCATCATAAAGAGCTACTCCGAGGATGACATCCACCGCTCCATCAAGTACTCCATCTGGTGTAGCACAGAACATGGCAACAAGCGCTTGGACAGCGCCTTCCGCTCCATGAGCAGCAAGGGGCCCGTCTACCTGCTCTTCAGTGTCAACGGGAGTGGGCATTTCTGTGGGGTGGCTGAGATGAAGTCCCCTGTGGACTATGGCACCAGTGCTGGGGTCTGGTCTCAGGACAAGTGGAAGGGGAAGTTCGACGTGAAGTGGATTTTTGTCAAGGATGTGCCCAACAGCCAGCTCCGGCACATCAGGCTGGAGAACAACGACAACAAACCGGTCACAAACTCGCGAGACACGCAGGAGGTTCCCTTAGACAAAGCCAAACAAGTGCTGAAGATCATCGCTTCCTACAAGCACACAACCTCCATCTTCGACGACTTTTCTCACTACGAGAAGCGCCAGGAGGAGGAGGAGGTGGTGCGCAAGGTGGGTCTGGGTACCCAGGTCCTGCACACAGGTGGCCCGAGGGATTTGGGCAGGGTAGGCGGCCACATTGCTGGGCCTTTCCCCATTGAGGTCACTGGGAGTGACTTGTGACTTGCGGGCGAAAGTCACCAGATAACTTTTGACCACATCCCAGTGTCTAAGGAATGAGAGCATTGGCACCACAGCCCGTCCATGGGGCGTGGGGCCCACCCACCGAGGCTGGTGCTTCACAGGGCGTTGCCCCTCGTGGTCAGGAGGCTCTGGTCTCTGATCTAGAGACCATTTATTTTTCTTTTGAAAACCTAACATCCTGTGGTTTGGGAGATGTAAATGCAATCCCACTATGTAGTAAAGAAAATGGGGATGGGTAGTTTGGAATCCAGACATTTTATGTTAAATGAATACATACATTTAGATCCAGTAGCAGCAAACCTTTGGTTTGGTCTCTTGGCGAGGGTCTGATTTCCTGCTGTACTTTAGCAGGACTGCGGTCTGAGCTGTCCCTACACACTGCGGTGAGTGTCTCCTCTTCAGAAGAGTTGGGCTCAGGTGGCCATAAACTGGCACCAGAAATGGGAAAACAAGGACGCTAACGTACGTCATAAAGCTCCCTTTATCTGAGAGGGTCTTCTGAGAGTCCCTCCTTTTTTGGTGTTAAGTTGTCCTTTCTTTTGTAAAATGTCAGTTGGTAGCAGGTGGGTTTTCAGTCCTTTCAGTCCTCTATACCACAGGAGTTAGTCATCTGTGACATCGAACGTCCTGAAGTGTTTTGAGCAGAAGGGCGCGCGCATCGGTGCACAGTAGCGCTACTGGCAGTCTTAAATTACGTGTGTCCTAAACAACCCAGGATTTGCAGAAACGTTGAGAAAGTGTTGATCCCTCTTTCACTCTTGTGAAGAAAAGAGGATGTCATTTATTTCCAGTTAACTGAAATTCTATATTTTAGATTTTCTAAACATAAAATCCTGAATTGCTGAATTTGCAGGAATAGAATAGAGATAATTGCTAATGAAACTTTTGTTTCTTGGCTGGCTTTAAACTGGCAGCAGGCTGGGTCTGTGTGTGCACGTGCAGACGTGCAGTTTTTCTTCTTAAATGCTGAAATTCTTGGATTTCCTTGAGTGCACTGGGTCCTGAAGGTTTGTTGTGAGCTTAGGGAGAAAATTCTAGTTGACCTGGTTGGTGCTTTTAAAATTCTAGTGTCCTAGAACTTGCATTATAGCTCAATCCTAGGACACCTGCGTTTTTGTGTCAGGTCTTGGGTTATGGTTCCTGGCAAGTGGCTGCACCTGAGGTCTGGGGTGTTCCTTGTACCCCTCGGAACGCTCCCAGGGAAGCTGACGGGGCTGCAGGGTGAAGCATCCTGGGAAGGGCCCCAAAAGCTCTTGGCCCACGTGCGTCAGCGTTGTATTATTACTTCGTGTTATTGAAAGTGACAAAGGACAACCCTGACTTGCTCTCTGGGTAGTGTAGAGAGGCCGAGGTGGGTCCGGGCGGTTCTCAGCTGGATGGCCTGGCCCGCCGTGCCGGGACTGCCCAGGGCGCTCTGGTCTCCGCTCCTCACTGGCGGGGTGGTCAGTGCGTTCCGCACAGGGTCTGAGGAGCTGTGGGGTTGAGACTCCGGATTTCCAGTGAGGAGTTTGGGGTAGTCGGAAGAGTGCAGAGTGCTGAGTAGAGAGCGGCGTGGTCGACCTGAAGCAGAGCTTGCTGGGGAGGCCCTCTCCTCCTTTGGTTTGTCATGTGCCGTTAGACCC